CGGCGCCCAGCTGGGCAAGCTGCTCTACCTGACGGAGCACCTACTGGCTGTGCTGTACACGCACCTGCGCCTGTGCCTGCCGGCCCCCGCCCTGGGCGCGCCCAGCCCCGACAAGGGGGGCATGCTGGCGTATGGCGCCGCCAATGGCGGCGCCGACCACGGCCAGCCCAGCCTGCAGACCCTGGGCTCCGAGCGGGTGAGGCCCCGCCTGCCCAGCCGGTGCTGGCAAGCGCTGGGGCGCTGCCTTAGCAAGCGGCCTCCTGCTGCCCTGCCTCTGCCCTTTGTGCCCCTGCTGGCTGGCCGGCGAGCCCCAGGTGGCGACCCTTGTTGCCTGCTGCCCTCTGCCAAGGCGAGACCCCCCTCCAGCAGTGCCGCAACTCACCTCCGCTGAGGCCCCTCACTCACTCACATAGCTGCCCCTGCCCGCCAACTTTCCATTTGTGCAGGACCTGGACCAGCTGTGGCGGCTGATGGAGCCGATCATCATGGCTCTGGAAAGCGCGGCGCCGCGGGCGGGTCGCGACGTGGCCAGCCTGCAGCTGCTGGTGCGGCGCACCAAGGAGTACCTCAGCGTGCTTTGAGAGCGTGCTGTGCATGGAATGGGGCGCATTGCAGGAGTTGATGTAACTCTCTGGAGGTTGGGAGGTCTGGAGCGGGCGGAGCGGCGGGAGGCATGCAGGCGCGCTGCGGCTGCCGACCACAGCATGGGACGTTGTTCAAGCTTCCGATCGACGGGCCACATTGCAGGCAACCCGTGATGCGACAGACCATCCCCGCCGCCGCGCCGCACAGAGTAGCAGCCCGGTCGCAACGCAGGATGGGCGGGTGTTGCAGCAGCAGGCGCAAGGCGCAGCCAGGGCGATCGCACGCGGACGAACACGATTGCTTGAACACGGAGAACAGCGCCGAGCCGTGCTACAAGCCCGGCTGCGTGTTCTGCACTATCGCGAGGGGAGAAAAAGAGAAGCTTGTGTACGAGGCAAGCTCCACTGTGCTCGGCACGCGGCATGGGCAGATGCAGCGTGGGCGAGGGCCCTGTTGAGTGCAGCTCCGCCGCCGCCGCCGCCGTTGCTGACCAGCCGCCGCCGCTCGCGTCCTCCGCTCCATTGCGCCCTGCCTCCTGCCCGCCTGCAGTCCGAGCGGCTGGTTGTGTTCCACGACAGGACGCCAGCCACGCAGTGCCACCTGCAGGTGGTGCCGCGGCGGCACATCAAAAACCTGGATGAGCTGCGGCCCACCGCTGCCGACCACGGCCTGCTGCTTGAGATGATGGCTACAGGGCAGAGGGTGCTGCAGGAGCTGCACACGGGCGCGCCGCAGCAGCTGGGCTTCCACCGCCCACCTTTCAACTCCGTGCTGCACCTCCAGTGAGTGATGTGACCCGCCCAGGTGGCGCCCAGGTGGCGCCCAGGTGGCGGTCTGTTGTGGCTTGCATGCGCTGCAGCCGTTGCAGCAGGCAGCACCCCTGTGCTCGGCCTGATTGGTGCGGTGTGGAGAGCAGGCCTGCAGCGAATGCTGACGCATCCTGCTGAGGCTTGTCCTCCTGCCTCCCACCGCCGCCCGCCACCCGCTTCCGCGCTGCTGATGTATGGTTGTGCCACATGTGCCACCCGCCCCGCAGCATGCATGCCATGGCGCTGCCCTTCCGCCCCGGTGCCGCCAGGTGGAAGTACGTGAGCAGCCCGTGGACGCCCTGGTGGCTACCGGCGGAGGAAGCGGCACGCCTGCTGGAGCCGGCGCGGGCGGCGGCCCGCGGCGGCGACGCGGCGGCGGCGGCGGCAGCGGCGGATGCCAAGCAAAGATGAGGCGCGGCAAGCAATGGTACGCACGAGGCGCGCACGCCGAGTGTAACGTTTTGGACGGATGTTAACTGGGTCCGCTGGGTGTGGAGTCAGCTGCACATGGCGGCGCCGGCGGCGGCTTCAGAATTGTCTTCAGACCTCTTGCTGTCGCGGCACCCCCCGGCTCGGAGAGATCTCTTAGCCGCCAGCATCCACGGCGAGCAGACCACGCTTTGAGCTCTCACATAAGCTGTAGTACGAACTAACGCCGAGCTGGCGCGCCCAGAAATCCATCTTCAAACCTTTGGTCACCACCGCCCCATCGTAGCTTGCAGCCTGGCGGCTGCACCTCCATGCCTTGCCTCGCTTGGTACATGGGCCTTGCAAGTCTCCAGGATGGGCGTGTAGCAGCTGGCTGGCGTGCCCACCTCTTCCTTTCCTCATCCGCTCTCCTAGCGATCGCATTAGTGCTTCTGCTCCGCGACCGGCTGCTCCACGGCTGGCTGCTGGGCCTGGCGGGCGGCAGCGCAGCGCCGCTCGGCACGCTGCCGCCCTGCACCCTGGACCTCCTCTCGGGCCAGCTCTCCGACGGCTCGGCCTCCTGGACCTCTAGCAGGTCGGATGAGGGCCGCCCACCCTTCATGGCGATGCCCAAGCTAGCGCTGAGTGACTGCCGGCTGCGACGGTTCACCGCCGAAGAGGCGCGGACGTGCCTCGCGGGCCGGCCCGTCGTCTTCGTCGGCGACTCACTCTCCCGCTACTCCTTCCTCTCCCTGGCGGCGTTTCTGCACAACGGCTCCTGGCCAGCCCTGACCGACTGCCCCAACATCCTGCACAAGCATACCTGGGCAATCAGCCTCCAAGGTTACTTCCAGAGTGAGCCTTTACTGGTGCTGCCCACTTGCTTTTGACAGGGGTTTCCATTCCTTATGTTAGCAAGACCAAGCTTGCAATACAGACCCGGGCGGTGCTCCCCAGCCTCACGATGCAAGCTGACACCGCCGCCCCATGCGCACACCCGTGCCGCTGCCGCCCCGCGCTCTGCCTGCTGCCTGCAGGATCCACCGACGCGTTTCAGGGCCGCATGTTGTGCGACTGCACAACCACAAAGGACGAGTCTCGCACTTACGAGTATCCCAGGGCCAACCTGTCTCTGTACTTCAAATGGTGGACGGGCTGGCCCTATGAAGTGCACGGCCGCTGGGGCCACCCGCCCTTCCGCAACGCCACCCCCTGCCGCACCCCTGCCTGCTACGGCTCGGGGTGCAGCACCGAGCCTGGCGAGTGCCGCCACGAGCACGACTGGAGCCTGCCGCTGCCCACGGCGCTGCGCCAGGTGGGTGCGGCCACGGCGTTTGCATGCCCGCCTGCCCAGGCCTGCGGCTCCCTTGCCGGCTGGCAGCATATCCTTCGTGCCATGTGGCCGCCACCTCATTGGCCGCCCCGCTCGCCGCCTGCATGGCTGCATGCGCAGGTGGTGTCCCAGCTGAGCCCTTCTGCCATCATCCTGAACTCGGGCATGTGGCGGGGCACGTCCAAGGAGAGCTCGCCTCCCAGCTTTGCCCGCGCGGTGGCCAAGGCGGCGCTCAAGGCGGTGGCGCCGCAGCGGGGCACGGTGGTGTGGCGCACCACCACGCCATCGCTGAGGCTCAACGTCACGCACGCCTGGGACGCCCCCTTCCTGGCGGCGCCGCGCCTGCACGTGCTGGATGCGTGGCAGATGCTGCGCCCGCTGCTGGCCTACCAGCCCGTCCCGTACTACGACCACTACCACCCCTGGCCAGAGGTGTACACAGAGCTGAACACTGCACTGCTCAACATGCTGTGCTGATTCAATAGATTGATTTCATTCACATGCTGCGCTGATTCAATCACTTCATTCGATCAAGTTGATACATCTTGGAAAAGATGGACGGATGGACAGCAGACCAAAGTGAAGGAAAACGCCTGTGACCCCTCGGGATGCATCAAGAGACTGACACCTGGAGCGCCTGATTTCATTCGATCGGTTATGGTGCATGCAATATGGTACATGCAGTATGGTACATGCAGTATGGTACATACATGTGGCAACCAATACACAGCGAGTTTGTTCCAATATAGCAGGCACAGGGGCGGGATGAAACAGCGGCGAAATGGATCACAGGGCCAGGCAGTGCGGCCCAGCGACACGTTTGGGGAGCACGAAGGGAGTGCAGGCGGTGGCAGGGGCTTGGGCAGCCAACCAGGGAGTGCAGCGGGCACCCGCTCCAAATGGCAGGCTGGCAGACATGGGCCTCACACCCAGGCAGACATGGGCCAGGCAGCCTGGGCAGCAACCTGCAGCACCAGCTCCTGTGGCAGAGCCGCCAGGCTGGCGCCGCCAGCTGGCGCCTGGGCCCCGGCAGCCCGCGCGGCGCAGCGCGCAGCCCTCGCCGCCCTGCTGGTGCCGGCCGCCGGCCGGCCGCCGCTGCGGGCGCCGTCGCCATGGCGCGCCGCCAGCAGCAGCCCCCGCACGGCGGCCTTGAAGCGGTCCGGCCAGATGGCGTGGGCGGCGGTGTCCCAGGCGCCCTGCCTCGCCACCAGGAGGAACCTGCACAGTAACAGGCGCAGGGCGCGGGCGCGGGCAGGTCTGGGGGATGCCGGCGCAACGGTGCATGCCCAGTCCTCATGACCGTCCGCCCGCCCGGCAGCAGCCGAGCGTGCCTGACTTCCAGTGTCACTTGGTCGATTGATGCCCTGCCGCCAACAACCACGCACCACCTCCGCGTCAAAGCGCCGGCCCGACCACCCACCATCACTCGCCCACACCCACCACCACCACCTGCCCCCACCACCCACCACCACCACCAGCTCGCCTGCTGTCTGCAGGCCCCGCCACCGGGAAGTACTCGAACGGGTCGAAGGGGTCGGTGACGGGGGTCAGGGCGCCGTCGTGCGCCATAACCATGGGGTGGCGCAGGCCTGCAGGGCTAGAACAAGATGAGGGAAGGGAGGCCAGGGAGAAGATTGGAGAAAGGGACTGGCGGGCAGAAAAAAGGCTGGGATTGGTGGGAAAGAAGCACGGGGCCGCGGGCGGGGGGATGGAGCGCGGGAGCGCGGCAGGCTGCAGGCTGGCACCGTCCGTCGGCCACAGGGCACGCGCGGGCAGCAGCCGGGGGGCGGCTGCGGCCCGGCGGCGATGCGTACCGCTGTATACTGCGGGACGGTATCCCGCGGACACAAGCTCCTCCAGGACCAGCATCACGTTCCGCTCTCGCGCCGCGTCTGCCGCCGCCCCCGGGTCCTGCCCCGGCTGGTGGCGCTGCGGGCGAGGATTAGAGGGGGCGAGGATGTGCCCAGGGTGCGTGAGGTGGCAGCACGCAGGTCGGGGGCGTGCCACCGCCCGGCGGCATTCTCGGCGCCGTTCTCGTGGCGCTGTCGCCGCCGCCCTGGCGACCAGCGCTCCGCAGGCGCACAGCTGCACAGGCCGGTCCCACCTTCCAGATGTGCAGCAGGCGGTGGATGGGGCAGGAGAAGGAGACGACGCCCGCCGCCTTGAGCGTGGCCGTGTCTGGCGGCACCGGCGGGCGCTGGCAGGCCAGCAGCGCGGCCACTGCGCCGGCCGCCACCCCCTTCTCGAGCACGTACAGCAGGCGGCGCAGGGTCAGCTGGGCCCCCGCCCGGTGCAGGATGTGTATCGCCTCGGCGCAGCCCGCGTGCGCCGCCGAATGCGCCATCAGCCCGTTGCCCGCGGCGTCGGCCTGGGCAACGGAGAAGGGCAGCGGGGAGGCGAGGATGGCACGCAGGATGGCGGGGCTGCCGCCCAGCGCCGCGCCGCGCAGCGCCTCAAACAGCTGCACCGGGGAGGGCTGCCAGGGAGGGGGCGCCGCCGTGGCCGGGCCGGCGTCCAGGCCGGGCTCGAAGCCGGCGTCCCAGCCGCCGCCGCCGCCGTCGCTGCTGGCAGCGGCGATGGGAGTGCTGGGCACTTCCTCCACCTCCTCCTCCTGCTGCTGCGGCTCCTCCTCCAGCCCGGAGCGCCAGGCCGGGCGGCGCGCCGCGCTGCGGGCGGCCGCCGCGGCCGCCAGCTTGGCGTCCCGCCGCCGCCGCAGCCCGGCGGCGGCCAGAACATACTCGTGAGCCACAGCGAAGAGCTGCTCGCGGGCGCAGCGCGCCGCCCCCACCATAACCTCCGCCGCCTGCTCGCCGCTGCCCAGCGCCAGGCGGCCGGCGGCGTGCTGGCGCTCCAAGTGGGCCAGCAGCAGCGGCAGGGCGCCGTTGGGCAGGAACTCGGAGCCGCAGGCGCATCGCAGCGTGGAGCAGCGGCGGCGCACGGCTGGCGCCAGCGGGTCGGCGCCGTGGTGCAGCAGCAGGTCCACCACGCCGCGCGTGGCGGCGGCCTGCTGGCCGGGGCCCGCCCGCAGCACCGCCGCGCTGAGCGGCGTGAAGGGCTGGACGCCCGCCGGCCCCTCGCGGGGCGGCCCCACAAGGTTGGCGTCGGCGCCCAGCTCCAGCAGGCGCCGCACGCAGGGCAGGTGGCCCAGCCTGCGGGCCAGGCGGGCGGGCAGGCAGACGGCGCGATTGTTAGGGTTTTCTAGGGTTTAGGGTGGGAACGGCTGGCGAGCGGCGCACGGGATGCTGCATTCCGCGGTCCAGCGCCGACTAAGCTGGCGGGCGGGAAGGTAGGAGAGTAGTGGGATGCACTGCAGGCATGCCCAGTCGCTGCGGCCGGCGCCCTGCGCTTGCGCAGAGGCAGCAAACCTCCGACCCCGCACCTGGCGGCGACGGCGAGCGCCGACATGCCGGGCAGCAGGGCGGCCCTCTGCTCTGGCGTGAGCAGCATGTGGCGCAGAGCCACGACCCATTGGGGCTGTGCTCCCGGCCAGGGCAGCGTGCTGTTCACGGAAACCCCAGCTTTCACAATGGCCCCCAGAACTTCGCTGCAACCAGCGGCTGCCGCCAAGTGCAGGCTGGTGAGCCACTCTGGGATGACATGGAAGCCCGGACCCGCCCGCCGTTGCGCCTCTATCAGCTGCAGGGCAGCGGTGGAGTCCCGCCCCGCCAGCGCCCGGAACAGCGACTGCTGTGCGGCCTTCCTGGAACGGGTGGTTGGCATCTTGAGCAAATTGGGAGCGAGGACACGAAAACAAACCCACATGGGTGCGGCTCACATGCCGCTGTGGGCGCTGGGGCGGCGGATGCCGATGCAATTGCATGCGCTTCCTCTGTTGCATTGCGCCAGCGCTCTTGATGTGTGCGTGGGGCGGTGAGCTGTGCATGCCATGCACACCGTGGAACCCCTCAGACACTTTCCACGAGAGGAGGAGGTGTGATGCCGCCCCATTTGCGCCTCGGCGCCCTTTAGCGTGGAGGCCTGCCCCTCCCGGCAGCAGGCCCGCCCAAACTGAGGCATCTTAAGTTACACACACCGCCATCCAAGGACATAGTTAGGTGGGCTGCTATTGGCGCAGGAGGTGCTTTCAAATCATCGGCGCAGGCAACTGGCAGAGGGGGCACTATTGATTTAGGCGCGGGCAATCAGCTTGGTACATACAGATGGTGGAGGGGTCAGGTCATGGCGATAAACGTGGAAGAAAGCGCTAGAACGAGGCAGCACGGCTGCTGGGTTTACTTGGCCTGGCTGCAGCACAGCACGCATAGCCTTGCGGCGGCAGGCCGAGGTGAGGAGCGGCCGCCCTGCGCTGCCGGCGGGCGTCGCGTCCGTGGCACAGATGCAGGTGGTACCGCCACACCCCCCTCCTTCCCCTCACTCCTTCATCCTGGAGCGGGTGGTGAGGAGGTCGCGGTCGCGGGCGCCGCCGCCGCCGGCGCGCTTGGGCGAGCCGGGCGCCACGGCCGAGCCGCTGAACAGCTTGGCGGAGGAGGCCAGGGCGCCGGCGGTGGCCGCCTTGGCCAGATCCAACCGCCGCTTGACCGGGGTGTTGATCACGGTGGCGCGGCACTCCTGCAGGGCAGGGCAGGGCAGGGCAGGCGGGCGGGGTGGACAGGGGACATGGTGAGGGCGCGTGGGTGCGTGCGGCAGCAGCAAAGTGGTGTAGCGACGGCGGGGCAGGCTGGCACAGAGGGAGGCGGGTGGGCGAGGGATGCAGGAGGCGGTGTGGCTGGGGTGTGTGTGGCGGTGGTGAGCGAGGCCGCCAGCCAGCATCCCTCTGGGAGCAGGACAGCCCGCCACACGCAGCCGCCACAAACATGCTCACACGACCACACGCGACCGCCGCCACCCGAGCCCAAACCGCCACCCAAACATAAGCAACCCGCAGCAAGAAGCCCGCCTCCCAACACCCAGCCCTTGTGGGGACCCATACACACACACACACACACACACACGGCCCACGCCCACCTGCGGCACCGCCTGCGGGAAGTCCTCGCAGTAGTGGCCGCCCCTCGACTCGCGGCGCTGCAGGGCGGAGCTCATGATCAGCTCGCCCACGGTCACCAGGTTGCGCAGCTCCACCAGCTCTGCAGGAGGAAAGCAGGTGGAAAGAAAGCAGGGGAGGAAAGCGGCGGTGGGTGGGTGCTTCGGTGGGTGCTTTGGTGCCGAGCAGGACGCACGGGGCGGCCGGGGAAGCGGCAGGCGAACGGGGTGGTGGGTGGTTTGGTTGCTGAGCATAGCCTTGCCCGCCAGCACACACACACACGCAGCCACACACACACACAGCCACGCACAGCACACACACACAACCCCTGCGCACAGCGACACACACCGGTGTTGACCCCGTAGCTGGCCACGAGCGCCTTGGTCTCCACATAGAGCTGCGCGATGCCCTGCAGCGCGCGCCGCATGTCGGCCTGGCGCCGCACGATGCCCGCGCCGCTCCACATCAGCTGGCCCAGCTGGCGCCGCGTGGCCGCCACCCAGGCGGCGGCCGAGGGCGACAGCGGCCGCGGCGCGCGCGGCCCCGAGAAGTCGGCGCCCGCGGCGGCGGCGGCCAGCGCGGCGCCCGCGCACCGCGACGCGTGCTCGGCGTGCGCCACCGACGGCCCCACCGCGCGGTTGGCAAACACCAGCCCCTCCAGCAGGGAATTGGAGGCCAGGCGGTTGGCGCCGTGCAGACCGGAGCAGGCCACCTCGCCGCACGCGTACAGGCCCTGCACCCGCGTCTCGCCCAGCAGGCCCGTCTGCACGCCGCCGCACAGGTAGTGCTGGGCGGGCACCACGGGGATGGGGTCCTGCGGGAGGCGGGGAGGCGTGGAGTGTGCAGGTGGGGTCAAACGGGGCTGGGGAGGCAGAGAGGCAGGCAGGCAGGGAGGCAGGGAGGCAGCACCAGGGAGGCAGCACACCCACCCACACGACCACCGCCACCACTCGCCCACCCGCCCGCCCACCCATCCCTCTCCACACACACACACGCCTCCGCCGCCACCCACCCGTGTTATGTCCAGGCCCACCACCACCGCACACCCACACACAACACGCAGCACAGCGCCACCACCGCCACTACTCCACGGTGACACACCCGACCCCTCCACACACACACACACACACACAGCCACCCACCCGCGTGATGTCCAGGCCCAGCGAGGCGCAGTGTGCGGCGACGTTGGGGAAGTGGTGCAGCACCTCGCGGCGCGGGCGGTGCGAGATGTCCAGCAGAACGTGCGACTCCCCGCGCCCCTCCATCTCGGCTTGGATGCAGCGGGCCACAACGTCGCGCGGCGCCAGCTCGCCGCGTGGGTCGCAGCCAGGCATGAAGCGCTCGCCGCCTGCGGAGGTGGGCGGCAGGGGTGCGGGCGGCGTGGGGCGGGCGGGGGTGCGGGCGGCAGGAGGCAAACGGGAGGCGGCGGCAGCCAGCCGGCCGGCCAGCCCAGTTTGCAGCCAGCTGCTCCCGCCTGCCCTCTTCCTGTCCCACCAGCGGCTGCACAGTTGCCGCGTGGAAGCAGCACCGCCACGGCTGGGCACACACACTGCGGTGCAGCTGCAGTACACCCTGTGGTACGCCCTGCGGTATGGTACCCCGCTCACCCAGGTTGTACAGCAGGCCGCCCTCGCCCCGTACCGCCTCGGTGATCAAGAAGGAGCGGCCGCCGGCCAGCGCGCCCGCGTCGGCGCCCGCGGGGGTGGCAGCGGCGTACAGGGAGGTGGGGTGGAACTGCACAAACTCCATGTTGGCCACGGCGGCCTTGGCCCTGAGGGGAGTCGCGGGGAAGGTGGCGGGGCAGGGCGGCGGCGGGTGGGATGAGCAGCGTGCGGGCCGGGTGCCTGGCAGCAAAGCTGGAGGGCGGCGCGGCGGGCACCGCACACTCCCAGCCTCCGGCCGCCGCCCGGCGGCCGCTCGCCGAGGCAGGGTCTTTGCCACAGCACCACAGAGCTGTACCGGCGGCGCGCCACCCCAGGCCGCAGCGCCCCAGGCCGCAGCACCCCAGGCTGCAGCACCCCAGGCCTGCCCCACCAGGCGGCAGAGCCCCCCCAGGCGGCAGCCGCAAGCCTCGCCTGTAAGCCATGGCGATTCCGTCTCCCGTGGTGACGGCTGGGTTGGTTGTGTTTGGGTACACCTGGCCCGCGCCTCCAGTGGCCAGCATGGTGACGGGGGCCACAAAGCGGGCCATGCGGCCGCCGGCCTGGTCCAGCACGTCGGCACCCAGGCAGTACCGCACCCCCGCCACCTCATCGACTGCGGTACGGGGTGGGAGGAGATGGCGGGGGAGGGGGAGGCAGAAGGTGAGAGGCAGCAGGCATATGGGGCAGGCAGAGATGGGGAACAAGGGTGCCGCCCTGCGCTGCTCGGCCAGCCGGCTGCAGGGGCGCACCAGGCCCGCGCCCGCCGCCTTGCGCCCGCCGCCCCGGCCGCAGCTGCCACCATCCCGCCTTCCACACGCTACCCGTCCCCACCCAGCCGCCGCACATGCGCCCAGACCAGCCGCAGCCGCAGCACAGCTCAGCGCCACAGCGCGGCCGCAGCAGAGCGCAGCCCAGCCGCAGCATCAGAACAAGTACGTGCCCTACACTGCCCACCCAGACGCCACTCACTCAGCAGGTCGACGGCCAGGTGGTGCTGGAAGAAAGCGATGGCGGGGTGCGCGGCGGCGGCGGCCACCAGCGCGCGCTCAATCTCCGCGCCCGTCGCGTCAGCGGCGTGCACGATGCGCCGCGCCGAGTGGCCGCCCTCGCGCGTCAGGTGCAGGCCGCCGCCGGCGCCGCCGCCGCCGTCGCCGCTGGCGTTGCGAGTGAACTCTGCTCCCAATCGCGCCAGCTCCAGCACGTGGCGGGGGCCCTCCCGGCACACCACCTCAACAGCAGTTGCGGT